GGGCCGGCCCCAGGAGAAGTTGGTGTCCGGGAGTTGAGGGAGCCTGGGCGCTGTTTGGCTGCTGTGTTGTTGTTTACTAAACTTTGGGGGGAACGCCACGTGTGAGGGGAGCATCCGCTGATACCGGCGGCGACTTTGGGAAGGCAGAGGCACAGCCAAGCGTGGGTTGAGAGGGAGGGGATGCTCAGCTCTGGGCGGGTGTAAAACAAGAGATGTACGAATTGCGTTCCCCTGACTGTGCCCAGACCGACTTGGAAGTGCTGTGGCTGTTTGGCTCCGTTTTTAAATTTTGGGTTTGGATTCATACTGCTCACCCGTTACAGAGTTAGTGAGAGGAGATACGCAAAGAAAAAATAGTTGTAGGAGTCTGTAAAACTCTTTGGTGCTATCAGGCAGAAACATTTTGCGCGTGTTTTCCTTGCAGATTAACAAAAGGTGATTTCCCAGATGGCTTCGTCCTGAAGCCAAGGGAGGTTGCAGTGCCTGGTAGAAGGTGTGCCAGGCGGTGGCAGGGGTAGGAACGAGGTGATCTTTAAGGTCCCTTAAACCCAGACTATTTTAGCATTGGATGCCCTGTCCCCAGGTGCAGCCAGTGTCACCATTCCCCTGCGGGCACCATCACTGTGAGCCCCTTGGAGCAGCTGGGCTATCTTCTATGTGATTGCTGCTTTTTGCCATTTTGCCACTCATAGTTTATGAATGAGTTTTTGAAGACCTGCCTTTGCCCTGTTGTGGAAATGAGCACCTTTATTTTCTGCCTTCTGTGTTGTTTTTATTGGGGGAACAGTGAAATTCACTAATTCTGGCCATATTGATGAAGAAACTGACGATGTCAAACTAGGACAATTTAAGGTGTATTGAAGAAATTTGATATTAGGAGCATTGTTTGGAAAATTTTTGAGTCTCCACAATAGCTTTCTCCTGCATTCTGAGTTACTCAGTTTTATTAGAGTATTTTTCCTGAAGTTAATTAATAAAAAATAAATTAATTGGTTTATTAATTTGCTGATGGGTTAAAACAGCTTTTTAAAATTGTGTTTAAAATTTATTGGTTTTCCAGAGTTGAGGTGTCACTGTGCACAAAAAGCATTAAACTCATGTTTGTTTTATTAATTAATTGGAAAAGAGCAGAAGTGAGGACATTGAAAACTACTTGAAAGCCCCTGATTTCCTTTGGTTACTGTTTTGAACTTTGATTTTAAACTGCAAAGCTATAAACAACTTTGAAAGCCCTGTTAATGATTCCAGGTGAAAGAAACAAGAAATAAATATAAACTCTCCTTTTGTTTTTTCCTTTTTATTTTTTTCCCTTTCTCAGCAAAATCAAGTAGGAAACTTACTTTCCTATATTTAGCAAACGATGTCATCCAGAACAGTAAGAGGAAAGGCCCTGAATTTACCAGGGAGTTTGAATCTGTTCTCGTGGATGCATTTTCTCACGTTGCCAGGTATGTTGCTGTATTTCTTCAGCTTTCCTCTCTAGAGATTTGCATTCTTGTTATTCAAAGCTTAATTCAATTGGATTTTGTTGTTTTTTTAAGTCTAGGGCATGCTTGTACCTTCTCTATAGTAGAGATTGGATCCTGACTGCTTTGTGGTTAGGGACTGTTTAGTTTAAATGGGTAACTGTGTATGTGAACCAGACTTTCTCAGCTCTACATGTTTGTGAAGCTCCTATGGACTTCATTTCAATTGTTACCTAAAGATCTGGCAGGTCTGTGTGTGAGCAGTGGAATTGAGCAGTTGGGTGTGTTTGTTAAAGCCACATAATGAATGGCTCTGCCCCATTGTCAAAAGACTTTCAAAGAGCTGATGTTTTGGGTCACTGGGTTCTCACCAGCCCTGGGTTGAGCAGTTCCTTTGTGTGTTACCTGACCTGTAATATCCTTGCTGGAGGAAAGAAGAATTTCTTATTTAAAAGGGAAGAAGTGATGCAGTCACCACCTTACCAAAAATGCACTGTTGTTTATTTAAGATTGTGTCTAAATGACATAATGAGTCCTGTTACCTCAGCTAAACAACATTAATGCTCTGGGTATTTGTCTGTTCTGGAGGGCTGTGACTGTCAGAGCACGCTCTGAGTGCATTTAAGTGCCTAATGATCCAATCAACCTGCTTTTAATTGGGATGTTATTGGCTGAGACAGCTGTTTAAAGTTAATACTCAGAGTTGTAAACTTGTCAGCTTCAGGCTTTTTTATAAACTCTTATTGCAAATTCTGAATGATGGCAAGTTTCTTCTTTCACAACTTTCTTGCTCTTGCTTTGAGGTGGGAATGGTGGGAGATTTCCAGGCAATCTTTAGGTCAAATAAAGAGGAAAATTGGCCACAAGTGTGTTTTGCACAGTTTGTCTCAGACAACATGAGCAAGATTCTCTCCAAATGTTCACATATTGCAATGGGTGCAGCTGCCAGTTTGGAAGATGCTCTCTGAAAGCATGAGGAGTGTTGATCAGCTGAAGTGTAATGATTTCCCAATCTTTAAACAGAGAAGCAGACGAGGGCTGCAAGAAGCCCTTGGAACGACTGCTGAACATCTGGCAGGAGAGGAGTGTGTATGGCAGCGAGTTCATCCAGCAGCTCAAACTGTCTATGGAAGACTCCAACAGCCCCCAAACAAAAGGTAAATGCATATTGCTTGTCATGTGTGTTTTGTTTTTAAATTGGTGCATGTTTCACTGGAATTACTCTGAAGAGTTGAGCTGTTGCCAGAGCTGGTTTTGGAGATTCTTCAGGACTGTGTTGATAAGTGTGATTTTTGTAAAACCCTCAGTTCTGGTTTGCAGGTGTGCTGTCTTGGGGCTGGCAGTGAGCTTAACTGGCTGTGATGTCTGGTGCTGCTTGTGCAGGTTCAGTGCTCCAGGGCTGCCTTTTGGGGTGAAAGCAACTCAGTCATGCAAGGAACTCTGTATCCACCTCAAGTGTCCCACTCTGCATCTCTGACACTGCTCAGCTGGGTTATTAGAGTGTCTTATTCAATACTGTCAGTGCTTTCATTCTCATATTAATTGTTTTGTTTTCCATAGTTACTGATTTTATTATGATGCAGAAAGGAGTTTTGAATAATTGAAGTCTGGAATATATGCCCCAGAAGCTTGTCTGGTCTCTTATTTTCTTACACCAGCTGATGTCATTTGGAGAAAACTAACTTTGCATAATTTAATATCATTAGAACATCACAGCTATAACCTTATTACTGCATGAGAGCTGTGAGAAACTGAGCATAAGCTTGTGTTTGGTGGGGTTTGATTTACTGCTTTGGCAGATCTTGCCTCTTCTGTAGCACTTGCAGGTGTTTCACTGGTAGTGCTCCAGTGGAAAGAGGGGAGCAATGAGATGCCTCAACTGTGGAAGGTGAGGGTCATTAAAAATCAAGAGTGTTCTGGTTAAAGGAATGTTTGTCCATCTTACAGCTGAAGGAAGTGGATGCTCCACTCCTGGAAGTGTTCAAGTCCAGGTTGGATGGGGCCCTGAGCAAACTGGTGTTGTGGCAGGTGCTGCTGCCCATGGCAGGGGAGTTGGAATGAGGTGGCCTTTAAGGCCCCTTCTGTTAAAGCCATTCTATGATTCTGTGACGTGTCAGTGTCTTCAAATGAGCTGGAATGACATTGCTGCTCTGGTCATATTTTTTTCTATCACGCACAGAGTTCTGATGATGTGAGAGAGTTGACATGGTCATTAGTAGAAAGCTCTTATGCCATTCTTAGGTGGTGAAAACAAGGTCTGATTGAGTTGGTATTTAATGTAGAATTTATAAGATATGAGCATAAGTGAGATCTGTATGTGAAGACATCTCTGGCTGTAGCTTTGTGCTTTTTCACAAGTGCTTTGGGCAGAACTGCTGGATGGATGCTCTAGCAGCTCACACCAGTGCCCTTCCACCTGCCCCTGATTGAGGTGTACCCTTTGGAAGATGACTTTTGCAGTTTTTCCCAAAATGTTGTGAGCCAGCTGCCGTGACCAAAGGGGTTATCCCATCTCTGTGGAGACAGAGTCTGTGCTCTGAGGGGTGCAGGTGAACATTCTCTGCATGAACTGGCTCATGTTGTGGGTTCCTCTTGTCTGGGTGCAGTGAATGAGGCACCTGTCTGTTATCAAAGGCCAGAATTTACACTCCTGACAGCCCTGACCTGATTAACTGAGGACTTGAAACTTTAATTTAGTGTAGCTGGGTAGGTGTTTCACAAGTGTTTAACTTTGAATCTAAAGGCATTGATAATTGATACCATGTGTTAGTTCCTGGTCATTTGGCAACCAGCTGTCCCTCAGTGTCCTTTCCCTTTGGCTGATGGTATCAACCACTTCTGCTACTGTTGTCTTCTCAACTTAAAAACATTTGTACAAAATTGAACTTACTAAGAGTAACAGATCTTTGTCTGTGGAAGCAGAGTGGAGGAATACAAACCCTTGAAGAGCTGCTGTGTGCACAGCTTCACTTGGCAAGAAACTTGGTTTTTGCCTGGGTAATTAGAGATATTAATGTAGTATCTTTTATTTGAAGGAAGGTTCAGGCCTTTGCATGAGTGTGAATGTTACTGCCTTGTCAACTCATGGTCAAAAAGAAGTTTGAAAAATTCAACAGGGTTATCCTGTGGGTTTTTTACTTGCTTTGACTGGCATGTGTGTGCAAATGAGCTTCTTGATGGTAAGAGCTAGTTTCACCTGGGGGCTTTATGGATTTCTGACATAAATTGGTGTTTTGAGTTTCTGGTGAGTTGCAGAAGGTTTTTTTGTGGTTACTGTATTCCATCTGCAAACAGGTGAACATAAGCAAGGTGGAGATTAAGGTGTCCTGGTTTACAGATAGAACAATTGTTGTAAATGTGGAAAACCATAGTCCAGTGCTCCTCCAAAGCCATTCTGGGTTTGTGGACTCCCAAGGTAGACACAGCTGAGAAATAGGCAGTGTTAGTGTCTGTAGATTGGTGCAAGCTGTGCTGTTAAAATGTTGGAGCTCCTTAAGGGCATCTGGTGCTGTTGATAACACCTGGTGCTGTGATAACAACTATTCTTTTCTTCAGCCTGAGGTATGGCAGCAGGTCAGTGCAGGTAGTTCTCTGTTATTTTTCATACTGCAGTGTCTTAAATTCCTGGGCTGGTGAGAGTCATCCTCTCTGAGAAGGATGACTCTGCTTGTCTTGAGAGCACCACTTAGAGTTGTGTGACTTCCCAAAGTGCAATGGAGTCCTGTATCAGTGAGGAAATACATCTTCAATGCTCATCAGTCAGTGTTTCAGTGCTACAGTTTGTTTCTTGTTTTGTCACTAGCAAGGCCTTGGGTAATGCACAGCAATTCAGTTGTCTGGGCATGCTGAGCTCCTGCTGTGGAGCAGAGCTGATTTCCCTTCAGAGAAACAGAGGGATAAGACAACCAGCCCTTTCTAAGCACTGTGTCCCCTGGTTTGACTGCTCAGTGGTGCAGCTGACTACCAGATTTTAGTCTTTCTGGTTCCTTCAGGAGATATGCATATGCATGGAAATGAGCTTTTGAATATTGATACATTGTTTTATCTCTAAATATATTCATTAAGCTTGCATTTGCTTTCTCATTAATCTCATTTTTATTAGTATGTTTCTTTTCACAAGCAATAGGGAAGAGAAAAACCCCCCATTTATCTCAGAGATTGGAAAAAGTAGGTCTTAAAGGTTTGATGTGAAACCCTTCAGGCAATACAACCGATACAGCTGATGTGTTTTCTTTTTGTTGTCTTTGTAACAAGCAATTGAAGAAGGTCCTTGAATGTGCTGTGATGTAGGAGTGTGTCACTCTTAACACAGAGCTGAGATGCTCCCTGACTGCTTTCATTGTGTTTATGTTGCAAATTCTGGCACAGAAAGTCAGACTTGTATTAAAATATGGAGAAGAACAGAGAGAGGAGAGCAGGCAGGGAGGCTTCTGAGGGTAGCTGAAATGAGGGCACCTGGACACAGGGCTGGGTATGGTTTTGGAGCAGCTCAGCTCCAGTTGTGCTTACCCTAGGAGAGGCTGCCAACAAATATATGTTGTAATGAGAGCTTCAGCAACCACAAGTAATCTACCCCCAAAGAGAGAAGGGTTTGGAGTGGTTGGAGGGGGTGCTGGCTCATTAGAAGCCTGTTTACCTCTGAACAGGCATCAAGAGCTGAGAACAAGGAAGTGAACACCTGAGCTGGGAAGATCCCTCAGGTGTCCAGCTGACAGGAACAGCTTATAGTTGTCAGCAAGGCCTTGGACACTGTAACCTTCCTCAAGCCAGCTGAGATGATCTGTGGCATAGAAGTTGGTGCAGAAATGCTTTTGCAGGTGTCTGTGGGCTCTGCAATAGCAAGGTAGCAACACCCTGAGGTGTCACTGCACAGCTGTGAGGAGAGCAGTTGTCTGTTGTTTTGGAGGAATGGAGAGTGCTTTGCCCTTTGGAGGCTTTTTGGGAGTAGTTCAATGTCTGTGAAGAGTGCAGCAAAGCAGGAGAGCTGATTTCATTAGGGTTTCTCTGGCTTCTTTGTGTCCATATCAAGGTGGGCTCTTGATTTTCAGGGAAGAACCTCTTGAATTCTACAGGAGGTACCATTGTAGAATACCTCTGTATTCTCCAAGGATATCTTGATTGTTTTGGTTATGTATTACATTCTGATCAGTTCTGCAAGTTCCCAGTGCTTGTTTTCCTCTCCTCTGGCTGGATTTGACATGCTTTTCTGCTAGTGCAGACTGTGATGGTTAAATTACCCCTGGCTGGCAGGTTTTGTAAGTTACCCAGGCAGGGTGTATCTGTGCTGTGCTTCTGTTCTTTCAGGGATCCTTTTGCTCCATATGCTCCTGGGTTAGCAAATAAGCAAAGGGGTTTTTTTCTATTTTGATGAGATTGAGATAGAGTTTCTAGAATTCTCCAGTGACTTTTGCTTAGGTTTGCAGGTGCTCAGCATCACCGATTTCAGAGTGCTTGCAGTCAGACTCACGTGGCCTTGTTCAGATGGAATATTCAATGAATTCTGAATCCTCTGTGTCAGAGTGGTGAGCAAGTGTAATGCTGTGTCTTGTGGTAGACCAGTTGGCAACACAGCAGGAATAACTCTTCAGCAATTTGAATCCCAGCTCTCCGTTTAATTTCACTTGTGTGATCGCTGTGGTCATGCATTCTTCTGTTGTTGGCTCAGGTTTATCCTCTGTTGGTTAATTATTTTATGATAAGTACACACAAGTGATAAATACTGATGACCTCTTGTGTTGGGCTAGGTAATTTTAAATGCTCTCTTTGCCCACTTTCTCATCTGCTCACCTCCTGTTCAACCCAACTCGTGTTTCTCACAGACCTCAGTGGGCAGCAGCTGTTTTCCTTGTTGGTCTGGTGCATCACTGGCTTGCCAGTCAGATTGTCAAGCACTCATACATCAGTTGGATACATGCAATAATTGGCTGTCCTTTTTCTAGCCTAGGTAGCTTTGTTCTATCAAACATTAACACTTCCCTTGGTTTAGGGTAACTTTTGAGTGCTGCTTTGCCTTCCATTGAGTGAGTGTGTCCTCTGTGCCTGCCCTGGGAAGGTTGTTCAGCTCTTTCCCCAACGAGCAGGATGTAACAGCTCCTCTGATTTCTCTCCATTAGAATGAAGTTTTTTCATATGTCCCACCTGACAAGGCAGGCAAAACTCTGCATTTAAGGACAGACCTTTGTTTGGTTCCCCATTAGAATGGGACAGTCTGGTTTTGTTTCAAATTGAGTGATCTTGGTTTTTCCTGTGAATCAAAGTATATACAGATTATCTTGGCAAGACTGGATTCCATTGAATAGATGTTCTTAAGACTGTCCAAAGATTTTTTACAAATTACCCCATATCTTATTATCTTTGGTGGCAAGTCTAAAAAATGACCTGCCTTCTTTTGAAGGTTCTGTGGCTGGTTCAAAGGCATCATTAAGACTTCTGACTCATTTAAATAAACTGTCTCTTCCCTTTCAAGCTAATGTTTGCCATGCTGAGGTTCATTTAACTAATGCTGTCTTGCTTTATGACATCCCTGTTTCTGAAGTGTTGCAGGTTACCTGCTTGGGGATTAGTTCATGCTTTGGTGTTGCTGCTGTCACATCTTGGAGTTGTAGTTAAACAGAACTGTCCTGAAGCCCTTATTTTGATGAAAGAGTGGAAGGTTGAATAATGAGCAATTACTGTGTTGATTGTGGGACCACAGGGAGCATATAATTAATGCAGAAAGATAACTTGAAATTCTTCTGTCCTTGTGTACCATTTCTACTGGTAGAAATCCTCACCTGTACACTCAGTGTTAGCCAGAGCATCTAAGGGTTGAAGCCTGTAATTTATTGACAAATAGCACATTTATTTGTCTTTCCTACTTTCATTGTGAGAGGCACAAACACATGAAGTGCACACTGCTCGTGTATCCTCAGGCTGGCATGTACAGAGATACATGGCTGGAAGAAATCAATCTTTTATTACTGTTTTGCATTTGAGTGTTTGGAATATGATTCCAACATTAAAGTCCAGCTGTGGTCATCCCCTAGAGGGCTTAATCATCAGAGCATCCATCTGGTGTAATTCTTTGAAGTTCAGATAGTTAAGGTGGGCAGATCTGGCATCCAAATGAGTTGTTTCTGTCTTCAGTTGCAGAGGAGAAGAAATCTTTAAAGCGAACTTTCCAGCAAATACAAGAGGAGGAAGATGATGATTACCCTGGGAGCTACTCACCCCCAGACCCCAGTGCTGGGCCGCTGCTGGTATGTGGGATGGGTTGAGTTTGGGAGGAGCTCTGGAAGCCGTAGGGCCACCTCCCCTGTGTCACCGCCACAAGGTGGAGCTGACAACAAGTGAAATGGGTTTAGTGGTGAGATGCACTTTGGGGTTGAAAAGTCCATGCAAAATGCAGCAGATTCCTTTTCCCTACTGCAATTATGTGTAACCCAAGGTCTGAGTAGTGCTGCCAGGAAAGAATCCCAAAGGACTGCTAGAAGAACAGACCAAATTTTAAATTCTTCTCAAAATCAATGTGTAGCTTCTAAAACCTAAAGCTGTGAACAGTTAGTACACAGTTTTCTTTCATACTTCATATCTTTCTGTAAGTTATTATACAGCATAGCTTTTGGTATATTTGTGTGGAGCTGGCAGGAAAACCAGCACTGAAGACTTTAGAGGCTCCATGTTACTGGTGTGGAAATATTTGGAATGAAATAGAAAATCATTGCGGCCATTTCAGGCTACAGAACGAACATACGTTAACCCAAAGCCTATTTGAAGGGGATAAAAAATTACACCATCCATCTGGTAAACTGTAAACATTGAAAAATAAAAATAAATAACAGTTGTCAAGGAAATAAGTGAAAATTTTGTTGTTGTTTGTACCTCCAGATGCCTTGCAGTTTATGGTTTCTCTTGATTATAAACATTGTCACTGTTGGAAATCATTTGCAGTTTGCAAGGAAGTAGTAAAGATTAGGTAATGGACCTCTTTGTTTTTCAGATTAGGAAAATATTTATTTTAAATTTGTTAGTGTTTTCATTAGCTTTCAAGCTATTGAATTGTAGTTTAAAAATCAGTGCTTGTGTTTATGGTTCTAGTGTCTGTTTCAAAAACCTGCCCTACTTCAGAATTTTTTTAACAAAAAAGCAACACTTTGTTCTTCCTGTTCAGGGAGTTTCTCTGGTGGGTTTTTTTTCTGAGCAAGGAAGAAATACAATGTGTCAGGGATGGTCCTCCTAGAACTCTCCTCATCCATGTCCTTTTAAAGTTTGGCTGCATTTTGAATGAATTAATTCAAACTGACACGTTTTTCCTCAGTGCACTAAAGCCAGCTGAGAGATGAGCTGAGGGCACAGTGAGGAGCCCAGATGAGTTGCAGAAAGCTGTGCTTGCAGGGAGCTGGGTGAGGACAGCCATGGCTTGGCAAAATCAAGAGATTACAAAGTTTGATTTATGGAAGGAGCTTTTGTCATCATTGGAGTTTACAGTCAGTAGCAAGTTACAGAATTCTAAACCTTGTCATGAGGGAAACTTAGTACAGTTTTGTTTGGGCTGATGGAAATTTGGTGTTGGGTGTTTTTGCTCTGTCAGAATGCAGCTTTAGAACAGAACAGAAAGGTGCCTGTACACTCCAGGGAGGCAGAGATCTGTCAGGGATGTTTGGGTGGAAGATTCAGTCCCAGCTTGAGAGAGCACACAGGGCTGGTGGTTCTCTCAGACTGGTGTGGTCATGTCCTTCTCAGCTATGTCTTAAATGATCACTTTTCTTAATTGGACTGAGAAGTTTCCCACTGCAGAGCCTTGAAAAGGATGGCCCTGCTGTAATTATGCAGGAGGAGCTAAACACTAGGATAGTGTAAACTCAATGAATACTCCTTGTGTTAGGTTTAAAAATTACTTGAAGAAAATATTCCTCAAATGGTGCCTTTCAGAGGTGGGTGAGCTCCTCTGCAGTGACCACATCCCTGGGAAGTGGATGTGGTTGAGGTTACCAGCTTTTACTGTTGGTTCACTTGTAGACCGAGGATTTGATCAAAGCCCTACAAGACCTGGAGAATGCAGCATCAGGAGATGCAACAGTGCGGCAAAAAATTGCTTCCCTGCCTCAGGAAGTTCAAGATGTTTCATTACTGGAGAAAATTACAGGTATGAGACTGGAAGATGAATGAACATGGGTCCAAAGAATAACTTGGAAATCAAAGTGTGTTTTTTTTTTTTGTTTTTTTTTAAATAATCACAATGTATGGTGGAGTGAATTCCTGCTTTTGTGTCCTTGCTTTGTAGTTCTGGGGTAATTAACAGATAGCAATCCTGTGACTAACACTGAAGATTAAACTTGCATAGCTGCTTCCTTTTTTTGGCTTGGACTGAGGCTTTTGTACTTTGAGAGAATCATCAGCATTTTGCAAGAATATAAAGGAAATCGAGCAAGTGTTCTCAAGTGGATGTGTTTGCTCTTAAACACCTCAGCTGTTAAGATATCTTGGAGTTTTGTCAGAGTGTGCTGAGTATACACATAGTCCTTGATTGATATATTTTCAAGTTCTACCAGACTGCTGAGTACACACATAGTCCTTGATTGCTATGGAAAAAGCAAATTGCTACCCCCGTTAATCTGTCAGTCTTTGTTTAAATTAACTTGTGCAATTGCATTTGAAAAGTAATTTTAATAGAAGCATTTAGAGGTTGAACTGATTTGACTCTTGTTCCTGGAGGTAGTTTTAATTTAGAACTCATTATGAATTATCACTTATTTGACTGTTCATAATATATTCTTACAGTGTCCAACTGGACTGCATGCAATTCTTGGATTTGTGTCAATACATTTGAAATTGCTCATATATAAGAGGAATTAGCAAGTGCACAAAGTGTTTAAATGTAGAAACCACCTGATTTGTTTACCTGAAGGTACTTCTAACATTTTAATTAACCTGTTCATAGGGGCTTGCTATTCACAGATTTATCTCCCTGCTTTCACTGACATCTCTGCAAGGATTAAATGCAGTCAGCTATGTCAATGTCTAAAATACAGCCCACAAAGGGTGTATGTCCTATTTCCTGTTTCCCTGTGATAACAGCCCTTATTTTCCTGTCAAGCCAGAAGTATATTTACGAACAAGATGTTATTGTGCCTGTGGCTTGTGAATCTCAGCCCTTCTGTCAACAACTGGAAATTTTAAACTCTGTCCTCTAAATCACCCAACGCTTTTGCACGCAGACAAAGAGGCTGCGGAGCGGCTCTCGAAGACGGTGGACGAGGCGTGCCTGCTGCTGGCCGAGTACAACGGGCGGCT